AGCAGAGCTGGAACGAGGTTCAGGCTGCAGCCCTCAGGGCTGCTCGCGGGCTCGGAGCACTTTGGAAATCAGGCACTGGAGAGACCTTGAGGTGCAGCGTCGGGGCGGTTTTGGGTGATGAGAAAGGACTTTTTGGGTGGCGCTTTTCCTTGGGTGTTTGTGCAAAGCCTCCTACAGACGGGGCTTTCATTTTTCCAGGGTCTCTCCCCTCCCTTCCCTCATCCAAGAAAGAGAACGGAAGATGAGAAAAGAGCATTTGATCCACAAACTGTTTTCTACCACCTCCTGCATCGCCATGTTCTTCCTCCCAACCCCCAGGGAAACAAACCTTTTCCTGCCAAAAAAAATCCAAACCAAACCAAAAAACCACAACGAAATCCAGGCGGATAAATGACTCAACCAAGGCTGTGCGGTAAAACCTGTGTCAGAAGATGGACCTACCCCCCCCTAAAAACCTCGGCACAGCTGCAATCCCCGCTTCTTACCCGGCACATCGGGCTATATTCTAGCAAATAAATTATATGCAACAGCAAAAAATATTCTGCGTCCTGTTTCAAACCAGAGAAGAGGTTGCAAAAGCCTTTGAGCAGGCAGAAACAGGCAGGGGAAGGGCAGGAAGCCTGCCTGGCTGCCGGGGCTCCAGCTCTGCTTGGAGAAAGCAGAAGAGAAACCCGCCGGTGCAAACATCGCGCGTCACGACGGAAAAGCTGACAAAGCTTCGGGTTTCCTGAGGAGCTGAGGAGCCGCACGAGCATCCCGGCAAAGCCCGGCATCAACCCTCCTCCCGCCGCCGGCCGCCGCCTCTCCTGCACCCAGCCATCCTCCCACAGGGAATAAACCCACTAGTAATCCCATTTATCCCTCAGAAATGAAATTGGGAGTGGATTTTGCAGCTGGCTTTGGGATAAATGTCGGTGCGGCGGCTGCGCGGCACCTGCTGCGGCAGGGACCCGAATTTGGGGGTGACCAGCTGGGAGATACAGGAATGGTGGAAATCAGCATCTCGCTTGTGGGTGTCCCCTGAAAGCGGATGCAAACGCGCCGGGGACGTCACCGCCAAGGCACTGTGGCGCAGAGCGGGGATGAAACGACACGGCTGCGTGGCCCATGCAAAAATGGTGCCAAAAATACCCAAGTGGCTGAAAAAAATCCCCCCAGCAGCGGCGCAGCCCGGGGTGGAGCCTTTGGTACCACGGGGAGTTTCGCTCTGTGGCATCGTGGCGATAGGAAAGGGTGAAGCCAGAGGCCTGGGTCCCTCAAAGAGGACACTGGGGTGAACTCCAGCCAAAAAAAATCTCATTTGGGGATGGAAGAGGAGCCCTGAAATGCAGGTTCATCCCCCTGCGCAGAGGAGCCCGGTTTCCTGTTTACCGGCCCGGCGCTGCCACCTTCTCCTCCGTCATCACATCCCCTTCCGAGCAAGCAAGGAAAGGGGCAAATTCTTCCTTTTTTGGGTCTTGAGAGCAGCGGGCTGCGGGTGGAAGGGAGTGGCGGCCGCCTGGAGATCCCCAAACGGAGACCGGCTGCCACCACCCCCTGATTTTCTGCCATGGTTTTGGCAAAAGGCTGGAGATCACCAAAAGAAAAGGGCTGGCAACGTGCAGATTGCCCAATCGGTTGCTCAACCTCAGCAGCTCAGCGCTGTCTTCACTTCCCGGCACCCCCCGTGCCTCAGTTGCCCCACTCTGAGCCAACGTATTTCCTTTTCCGTGGGCTGGGGTTTCACTGCTGTCTTGCAAAGCGCTTTTTAAAAAAAACAAAAACCATCAGATCAAATCAATTCCCCCTGCACACGTGGCAGGAGGCTCTCAGCCCGCTCTGCCTTCCAGCACGAGCCGTCGGCTGCTCCCGCAGTCGCTTTCAGGCCTGATGGACCCCAGACTTATTCCTGTCCCTAAAAGTAACTTTCCCAAGACCCTTCCCCGCATCCCCACAGCCCCACCTGCCCTGCGGTGAGGAGGGACCGTGGCCACGCTCGCAGCCCCTCGCTGCTTGCTTTTGCAGAGTTCCTGGGGAGATGCACAACTCAAATACGGCGACAGAAATAGGAAAATACCCACGACCCCCCCCCCCAAGATTGTGTTTTTCCGAGGAGGAGTGGGGTGCTCTTCCCTATTCCTGCAAAGAAAGGAGTGCTTTTTTTTGGGGGGGGGTTGCTTTCTCGGTCCCCCCCCGCAGCACGCAGATGCTTTGGCAGCATCCCCACCGCCGCTTCGGCCTCTCCCCACTCGGGCGGGCGATGCGGTTTCGGCCCAGCTGCTGCGTCCCCCCCAGCTGTGCGAGGGATTGTGGGAATATCCCGCTCCCCCGGGAGGCTGCGATGCTCCCTCCTGCACAAACCCTGCTGCTTCCCTGCAGCCCGGGGCAGCTTTTAACCAGCCCAACAGCGCATCGATCCCGACGCAATCGGTAGCAAAGCATCATCCAGAGGCAACAATTCCTCCCTCGCAGGCACCGAGAGCCTCTAAAAGCCGCTTTGGTAAGCGGTGGGGTACGACCGCGCGCTCTCACCCTGTCCGGCAGATCCTTTGCTCGACCGACGGTGCTCAGCATGCGGCTCCTGCGAGCCCGTGCGGCGGCGGCTCTGGCCCAGGCGCTATTTTGGAGCCGGGATTTCTTCGGAGCGTCTGTCCGGTGTCCCTAAGCGCGAAGG